GGGGTAATTACTTCTTGAAAATTATACTCCGCTCATTTTTGGCGAATAAATTGCTGGATTTGGTTGCGAATAATTACTCAATTAGGCAAAAGGAGAGGTAGCCCTTGGCCGGCCTTTTCATCTAAAATATATAAATTTAATTCTTTGGCAATCGTGCGGTGGTCTTCTTTTTTTTCTTTTTGAAAAACATTATTATTTTCACTCATTGATAACTAATAATTCAAGCATTTAGCCTCAATTATTAGGGAGGGAATTCTCCTCTATTTTTTTAATTTCATATGAATTTTTATTCTAATTTCTCCTGGTTATTTTCCAACAAAAAAACATTACATATTCTTCTTTTTAACTCTGATTGATTATCATTTTGGCAAAACTTATATGTTTAGTCATCGTTTAATATTATTTTACCATATTTATTGTTAAATAATCTTTTTTGCCCGCCAAGAAGAAAAAAAATAATTACTTTATTCATTTTCCGGTCAGGAAGCAAAAAGACTTTTAAACAAGACAAGTTAAAAAATTATATATATAATAAAATAAATTAAGGAGGTAGAAAGTGAGCGGATGGTGAAAGAGACATTAAGTGATGATAAGCAAGAAAGTTAGCAAAATCGTCTCTCTCTCTCTCTCTCTCTCTGCATAAAAAATTTATACATAATAACAAAACAAATATGAAAATTAGATATGACACCCGAACAAAAAAGCAATAATAAAAATTACATTTTAAATAATCTTGATAAATATGTTATTGATAGCCGCCAGTATTTTTATGGTGAGGATGCTGAAAGTAAATATACTTATATTGCCAAAGATGCTTTGCCTGATGGAGCCTTTGAGGAGATAAGAGACCAAATATACCAAAAAATCATTCAGAACAAAAATGACTGAGAAATAACTGACAATAATAGTGAAAGGTGGCAGGCTATTTCTACTCCGGTTTATCAGCATAAAACTACTCTTATGATTAATCATAGTGCTGGTTTTACCTGAGAACAAAATGACCGTTTACAATCAGTGCTTAGTAAAAAAAAACGTAGCGATGAGTTGATTAATCTTTGACGACAAGAAACCATTGCGGAAATTGAAAAAAAACTTACTGAGATTAACCTAACTATTGATAAAATTGAAAAGGTGGTTCGCGACTATGGATTGGTTGAATTTGTAAAACAAAAACTACGAATTTGACCGCTTTCCGAATGAAAATCCAAAGTAAATGGAATGAGAAAGCCGGGGGAAATGCTTGATTTTTCTGGTTATCTCCAATTTCTCATTGAACAAATAGCCGCTTTTCTTGAAAAAGGAGATTATTACGAACATTTACGGAGAACGAGGGAAGAAGACGATAATTTTCGAGGGGGTTTTGACCGACTGAACCGCGAAGAAAAACAAAGACAAGACCAGGAATATAATAATTGAAAAACTGATTATTTGCGGGAAAAGAAAGAACGAGCGATTGACCGAATTGAAAAATATTTAGTGGAAAAAAATGTTTCAGCGGATGAACTGAATAAAAGATTAGGAAAAAGCGATTGAAAGCAAGAAATTAATAAATTTTCTGATTTTAGCAGTGGAGGGATAATCGGTGTCCAATCTTTTTTGGAAAGAGAAATTGATAAATTAAGTTGCAAATTTACTTGTGCTGGCTGTGGTCGAACCCTCGATGCCATTTCTCCCCACGAAGAA